AGTATTTCTCTCTATCAGGTTTCATAAAAGCCCTAGAACCTGCCAGGGGAGCTGCTCCTGAAGCGAGCTGCCACAGAACAGGCAGAAAAAGGACCAAGCGGGTTCAGCGTCAGGGCAGCCATGAATTATAGAAAACAGGAATGCAAATGCATCAAACAAGGGAGCAGTGTCTCACTGTGGGATGCGGGGCGCTGCTGGGTGGCGAAAACACAAGCGCTAAGAGTCGCTGTACTTAAAGAGACTAAGAAAGAGGGAGGTTTTCTTTCCCATCTTCAGCTTGCATTTAGGTTTAGGATTTCAATCACTATGACTTACACCTGCATTTAGAGGTTGCCCTCAAACTGAGGCTGCTGCTCTGCCTGCCTGAGGCTGCTGCTGCAAGAATTTGCTCCAACATATACTACTAACAGGAATTATAGAAAAAGGGAAAAAAAAAAAGACAGGGAGAAATATAGGGAAAAAAGGAAAGAAAAAAAAAGGAAAAAAAATACATGCACATGAAAGTGTATGTTTTATGCATCCCAGAGACGGCAAAAAAGAAAGAAAAAAAGGAAAAAAAATACATGCACACGAAAGTGTTTGTTTTATGCATCCCAGAGACAGGGGCAACACTTCATCTTACTTTGTAAATGTGTTTGTCGTGAGCAAGAGCTGCAGATAAGACGCGTCTGGTGATGACCCCCCACGCAGGGCAGGGAGGAACAGGGAGGCTGTTCAGGAATGGGAGCTGACCGTATCAGTGCTCCTTATTCAACAGCTGTAACCATGAATCTCAGCCCCGTGCCAATATCCCAGGCCCTCTTGGAAAGGCACCATCTCAAAAGAGATCACCCTGCTTGCTACCAGAGGAGGCAGCTGCTGCTCTGTGTAAGAGGCCTTGATTGAAATCTGCACTTCGGAAAAGCTGAGAGGTCCCCCGAGCTGGATAAGAGGATGCAGCAGACCAAGGAGAGCAGGGAATGCAAACTGTGGGATTATAAACCAGCTGTTAGGAGGCTGCAACTCTGCTGAGGACAGGCTTGGCTGTGATTTATGTCTCAAATATGCGGGAGGACAAACTTACCCTGTCAGCTGTGGCCCACAGGATATAGAACACTGCTTCCTTTTCCCGGAGTCCTCTGGAGACAGCCCCAAGCTGAGCAAGGCTGCACGCGAGAAAGTGCATGTGCGTGGGCATGGCTGGAGCTCCCCTCTCGATAAAAGGCTAAATCCTGATTTTATTCTCTGAGTACACACAATACAACACAAAAAGAGTGCCACTGCTCTTCTACATGTGCAACTTTGAAAGCTGCTCGAAAATCTGCTCATTATATTAGCAGCACACACAGAAACCTAACCAACATGCACGAACGGCCTGGGGGTGGCCAAGGAGATGTGGGGAAAGTAACTCGGATGCAGATTAGCAGACTGGAAAGTGCGGCCTGACTGTACACACACACCGTGCTTCTCATGCTCCAAAACCCCCAGGTCAATCTGACCAATGCACTGGCAATTGCCTCTTTCTTCTGGCCACCCATGGTCAGAGGAGCTGCTGCTACTGCCAAAACAGGCAAAACGCTTCAGCACATTTATTTGCACCAGTGCTTTGTTTCAAGCTTTCCCCTCAAATTATGGTTTGGGGCATCATAATTCACTTGGTATAAGGTAACATTCACCTGCTAATGAATCATTGTAATTAACAAGCTCTTTTTGTTGCAAAACCTCCGTCATGCTACAGCATTTTTTCCTTTTCACTGACTCATCCTATCACCACACCGGACGTACACAGGGCTCCTGCAGGGAATTTCCAAGCAGCTTCAGAGAAGAGAAGCAGAGATGTGAAACTGAAATTCCTCCAGCCTGTTTCACTGCAAGGCCCAGAACGCCACCCAAGGCCTCCCAACTATTCTGTACTACTGATTAACAGGAATACCAAAGGCCATTCTGGCTTTTACACTGTAAGACAGCCGCTCTGCCCAGCTTTGACAGAGAGGCCTTTAAAATAGAGATTAATGGACAAGCAGAGAAAAAACACTGGCCTGCTGCAGCTTGAGAGGAAGAAGCTGCAGCCTTCCCCATCAGCAGGGCCAGACATGGCATAAGCCTCTCCTATGTCCCTCTCACATTTAAGAGCCCAGCTGCATCTGCCGAAAGTGCCAATGATCAACAGACCTCGCCTAAAGTGGCAGTGGTTTGTGGGAAAAGAGTCACCATAAAAATGAGTTTTTTGTTTATTTTTGAAAATAAGACTCAGCTTTTTGACATCTAGAATTGGGACTTCCCAGTGTGGCTGAAAACCACCCGAAATCCTCACCATGACAATGGTTACCACAACTGGACAGCCAAAGGTGGGTCTGAGAGCCTGACAGAGGTGAAGGGGCAGCTGTGGGGCACAGCAGGTAGGAACCAGGCTGCAGGACCAAGCCAAAGGAAGAAACACGGACGCACAAAGAGTTCCTCTGAATGGCTCAGCAGTAAGGCTAGCAGGAGAAAAGTTAAATTTAACAACCTTCAGATTTCAAGTATTCACGCTGCAGATCTTCCTTGGAGCAAGCAACTCACCCCAAGAAGTTTTGACATCTCTGCCAGCGACAGCAGCATGTTTCCTGAGGGCAGAACACCACCTTCTTTCTTGGTCCCATGAGATAAAATACAAAGTATTTCTTTGTGAACTGGGGACAAACTCTGACACACAGATAAAAACTCCCATTCTCCTGTGCTTAAGCTTTTTCACTGGAAAACCCTGACACTGCTGCCATCACAAGCCTGGTTGCTGCTCTCAGTTCAACTGGCTAAAAGGTCATAGACCATAGACCAGAAATGTCTCACCAAAACCAATATGCTCCTGCAAAAGCCTCAAGTACCACTAGAAGGAACCACTAGAAGGAAATAGGGACTGTAATCACATATACCAGCAGATAAAAGTACAAGAGAGAGAAGACAAAATCCAAGTGACGTGCAAAGATGTGGTTCACTAGTCGTAATTTAACCATCATCCTTTCTGCATTTTAAGAGCTGGGGTTCTGTAGACACACATTTCCTTCCCCTCCTCAGCAGCCAGGGTTGCTTGCCCATGGATTAATTGCTGCAGATTACTATTAACCAAACACTATCGATCACATGAACACGAGAACTAAGATGCATTACAAACAGAAGAGGAGAGAGACAAGTATCAGGATCCACTTGAACCCCTGCCACTGGGAGGTTTACCACAGCTTCTTCGCACAGGTTGGTTATTTTTATTATCTTTTTTTTGCAGAAGCTGGTAAACAAACATACTTTGGAAATAGGCCAGTCATTATTTTCTCATTAAAAGCACCAATCAGCTCTGGACATAATTCTAGAGAAGGAGGACTGGGCCCCTCATTTTAGCCTAGACATCTTCCTTCAGTCTCATGCCTCCAGAAGGATGTTATTTTAATTTCTGTGCAGAACACTAATGTTGGTAACATGGGGCTTCAGCGGGTTGAATTTTGTGGGTCAGATCTGAGCAAGAGATTGATGTCTCCCCTCCTAACGTTTCCTTTAGAAGCATAGTTGCAGGCATCCTAGCATGAGATTGTGCTTTTCCAGCACAGAAAGACATCTTACAGTCAGGCCTCTGATACCCTTTTCCTGACAAACCGGTTTTAGATCCCTGTGCAACATTTGTAACCCTGAAGAAATGAGCTGATGCGATTAACCCGACTTTAATCCACCAACACGATGTTCCACATCACCCATATCCTCATTGCTGGACTGAGGATTTCAAACTGTGGGACATGACCGGGAATGAGGAGCTCAGACTTAATTCACTCATGAAGCATATATACAAGTACGAAATGCTTATCTGAGTGGTTGTTTAACAGCATACAACCCATGTCACATTCCAATAGTAATCCAGAATGTCAGCACTTTGCAGCTTTTGAGAAGGAAGTCTTTTAAGAGGAAAAAAAAAAACATTTTATGAGTGAGGAGCAGGAGAGGAGGAATCAAGAATCAGAAGCATTGTCTAATTCATTTAAAAAGGAAGGAGACTGAAAACAAAATGATTGCAACACAACAAAGAGAAGTCTAGGCTTTTTAAAGCTTCAATATAAGTTCTTCTTCTGCTTCTCCCAGCAGAGCTTGCAACCCCCATTGACCAGGAGTGAGGTCAGACCTGGCACTGGCCCCAGACACAGCAGTGCTGTCCCTCATAGGCCTTGCCACCGTGCACCCTGCCTTGGGCTTTCTCAGCACCTCTCCGACTTTGGCCACATCGTCCTCAGGAGACACCTGCCCCAGCTGGGGAGCGAGCAGGAGCCCTGCATCCACAGCTCCTTTCTCCACCACCTTCACCCAGCAAAACTGGACAGAACTGCCACCAAAACTCCAGCACCATCTCCTATGTCACCAGTGCTCTCCATGACACCAATCCAAAACCCAACTTTCTTGCAAATTTGACCTTTGACACGAGACCCTTGGAAACCCTCTCCTTCTGGTCCATTTGTCTTTGTGCGACAGCAACTCACAAGCCCTCGTCTCATATTTGTGTTTGTGCTCTGTCACTGCTGAGATCTAATAAACGCACTACCTGGAGGTTTATCTCCTGGCCATGACCACAGGAAAAGGCAAGCAGAACAGTCACAATCTACTGTGGTTTTTGACGTAAAGACTTCCAGTTGATTTTAGCAGAAACTAGGCTGGCTGAAAACATAAGCATATTAAAGAAAAAAAAGAAACCCACAAAAAAACTCCACAGAATTTGAAACAAGACTCTCATTTCATTTTGCTTTCGAGAGAAATTACTTGTTCTGAGGGCCCCTGTGACAAACACCCTGTGTGCCCCTTTTCCCTTTTGGATGATCCTTTCAGAAAGGCAGCTGGTAAAAGCAGCCTCCTTGCTCGCAAAGGACGGATATAACAGAGGATGTATTTGATAGGCCTCTACAAGGATGCCTTAATTACCACCAGATGTTCCTTTTATACAAAAAAAATCGCTGCCACAAAACCCCTATCAGATGAGAGCTTGGTGGTATTTCCTAGTAAACTGCGCTTACCTCTGTCCTGTGAGTGTATCTCCAAAAGGCAGCTGGTATCAATCCGCAGAATGCAAGAGCAAAACAGAAAAATCCCTGAGGACAGAGAAAACATTGCCAGTTACAGCATGAGGAGAGCATATTTATTTGGAAACACCTTAGGATCATATTTTATATGCTAGCTTTGGCAAAATTGTTTAAAATTACAGCAAAATATCACCTTCTTAACATCTCTCATAATGCTGGTTACTCGATTAGAAATTAGCTGTATAATAACTCCATCATTTTCCCACAGGAACCCTCTAATTACACTGTGGCCTTGTGTAGGGGTTGACCAGAAAAAGCTCTCTCCTTCCTGTGTAGCAGCTAACCTATTCTGCCCAACTTCCTCTTGAGAAAAAAAAAATTGAGGAAAAAAAAAGGGGGGTGGAGGGGCGGGGGGAAGAAAAACATTTACAGTATGCTATTATATGGAAGCAGGACCACATACAGAGATAACACCTCCTTATTCAAGGCATACGGTCTCCTCCATGTTTAGAATTCAGACATCAGCTTTAAAGAGGGGTAAATAAAACCCAACCAGTCAGACAGAAATCCCCACCCAAATGAATTTAGTCTATATACTAGTTGGTGATGAGGAGAGAGAACAAGCTGCGCTGGGGAACGAGCTGGATTTGACTCCAGCCGGCACCTCGCAGCTATTAACACCACACCAGCCGCAGAGCCAAGTCGCCTTTCTTAAATCAGCCCTGTCCCGTTTAGACAGGAGGAAGACAGAAATATAACCAAGGCCAGTAACTGACCCTGAACTGTATAAACAATAGTGACAATGACATAGAAGGCAGCTTGACTTTTGTATTCTTTGCTAAACTTGCAAAGCTGGAAGTTAGAGATGCTGCGGCTCTATTTGAGCAAGTTTTAACAAAAAAAAAAAAAAAAAAGGCCTGATGTAAACATTGGTTGCCTATTGTGACAGCTGGACCAAAGAATTTACATTAAAAAAAGGGAGAGAAGCAAGAGTGCATGTGAAACCTTTGAAGGCCAAATGGGCTCATCAAATATGAATCTTGATATCAAATCCGGAGCGTGGCCTTGGGATGGCAAAAGATGCTGAACGAGCACCAGCTGGAAACTGTTGCCCTGGCACGTTTTTCTGTCTAAGCATTCCCCTTCTGAAAGAAGCTGCCTGTCTGGGGAAAGCTGTCCATTTGAGTGAAGCTTGTTTTTAAAAAATTTATTTTGGTAAAACTTTGCTGGAATATTAAAAAAAAAGAAAAAGTGAAAACATTTGTCAAATGCAAGCTTAAAGAAAGGAATGTTACTGTTACTCATTTTGTTTTACCAAAAAGCCTTTGCTTAAGGCCATATGGCTTTAAAATGGAAAACAAACAAGCAAGGAAAAAACCTGTCATACCACACCACCAAATCCATAGTAAAAAAGGAAAAAAACATGTCATTTCAAATCCTGGAAACAAGTGTAAGCATGCCAGCAAAATAGCTTTTTGTGGGTTTTGTCCATTTTTTGCCTGATCTATCTTTCTCTCAACCCAGGATGAGGCACCATCAGAGAAATTTTGTTCCAGGAATGAAATTGTTTGGCATTTCACAACTCACAGTTTTCTTGTTTACAGGCTCCTTAGCAGGGGCCAGGGGAAAACCTGGCATGGCTCTTATGAAAGACTTTAATTATATATGCCTGCTCTTTTTTTTTTTTTTAATTTTATTTTTAGGGGGGATGGGGAGTAGGATAATCAGACTTTTTGCTTGATGACAAATACTGCTTTAAAATTTAAAGTCAATGAAAATTTGATTTTAGCAACATTTTAAAAATAATCTAGTCCTCAGAGAGATGAGAAAGGCAAGTAGCTACCAAAAAACACAGAGAAAGATCAAACAGAAGTCAGAACGAAGAAAACTTTTCCCTATAACATGGAAGATCATTTTCTTAACTAAAGTTAAAGCAGATACAAAAGACAAAGGTCCTGTGCCACTTTCCTTTGCTAGCACTCTGTCCTCCTGCATTTGCAGCAAACATCTGTAACTGTTAGCAACGTGTCATCAGGGAGAGCTGCAGCCCCTCACCTCAGCCCTTTACCCTCCTACCTGCTCTGCCCTTCCTTCGACGCGGCGTTATTCCACGGGCACACAGAAAGGCAGGCACTTGGGACGCTCACCCCCCCAGCCAGCCTGCAATAAGCAATTACACGGCTCCTAGAAGGGCTTATAAATGAATTATGGGCTGCTTTTTCCTTTCCCAGCCAGAAGGCTTTGTGTAGCACAACTCCTTAATTACATTAGAAGACATTTGGAGAAAACAAATCAGTGAATTAAGGACTCTCAAACCTTTCGGCTCATCCCTCCTGCACCTACCCCTCGCGGTAGGAGGGCTCCGCACGGGTGAGGAATCGCCCACAGCCAGGGATCCTCGGATGGATTTCGTGCTTGGCAGCGGGGCACGATGCAGGAACGCGCCCGAAGCACATTCACAGCACACGCTGCTGGGCCATGGCGGGCCCTTGGCACCCTTGCTGCAATTATGCATTTGGGAACAGCAGAACAAAGAGCTGGCGCCGAGTGCTGGTCCCACTGGCACGTCACTCAGATCGGGCTTTTGATGACGCTTTTCCATCCCAATAAGTGTTTGGAGCCAGCACTCAGAACAGCTGATCTGTCCTGAACACATTTTGCTCTAGCGATTTTCAGCTTGGAAAATTCAGGTGCCAGTATTTCAGATGGGATATTTTGGGGGGTATGTTGCTTTCTCTCAGCTGTTTTTTCCCCTCCCCATCTCTCCATCTGTCCAGCAGTTTAAGGTACTTTGTGCTCCTATCTGGGCAGGCTCTTTCCTCTGTACAAGCAGTGCTGGCAGAGCTGCAGCTTTCCTTCCTTCTCCTCCCCTTCCATACGAACACAGCCTACAGGATGTTTATGTTCAGGACTGACTGAACGATGTACCACGGAGAAGCAAGGATCCACAGGCTCACCACAAGTATCCCTGGAGGACAGTCAACAAGCCTATCCCCTCTGTCTCTGCTGAAGGAGGAGCTGCGTTTTGGGGGAAACGGTCCAGGATTTTAGAGACGGGATCTGCGCAGCGGGTGGGTCATCAACCAGGGCGACGCTCCTCCTGCTAGCGCTTCCCGAGCAGAGGATTAAGGAACAGCCACGTCGACGTGCGTGTGCCACGGATGCTGCTTGCTTTCCCACACTGCCAGGTGGGAGAGGTCAATACTGCAGCTTCTTCCCTCTCCGATTAAACAGCAAATTAAACGGGCTTGAAACAAGACCATTATAGAGAAGGAAAATTCCTTTAAAATCAATAGCAAGGAAAGTTGAAAAATCCTCTCCGTTAAAGAGAGGAAAAAGGCTGTGAGGGATTGATTGTTTCTCCTGTGACTGAGGGGACACAACACCAAAAAAGAACAAGCCTTGGTGCTCTGTG